TTGAAAAGCAATCCCGATACACACTTGCATACTTGTTGGAGTTTAACAATTTAAATGTGAAGGATAAATGATACAAATTTTAGATGATGGGTTTAACAATGACATAAATAGTGTCTAACTCTCACTCATTCATAAAATGTCAGAGAAAAGAATTGATTCATTTGAACACATGAAATTTCCTGGAACGAGATCTGTGATCTGGAAAAGAAAGGGAAAAATCGAAATTTCAAATTAGAAAACACACATTACATGCATTACATATGCAAACTATGTACACAAGCCAACTCTTTTACAGAGAAATTCATTTTACAATAGCAACTACTGTATAAAAACAAACTACTTTACAAGAGCAAAGTTTCCACTCTTCTGGCAACTATTCCATTCATTAAGGGAAAAAAAAATTATGAGAAAGAATTGACAAATAATTCATTCATTCACCAAACTAATGACAAACTATCATCTTGTCTTTTTACTCCAGGTTAGCCAGTTCACTCCTGGCGGTCTATTCACTCTAGACCAATCCGTTCACTCCGGATTTAACAAATAACAAAACCTGTTCACTCCAGGTTAGCCAGTTCACTCCTGGCGGTCTATTCACTCTAGACCAATCCGTTCACTTCGGATTTAACAAAACAACAGAACCTGTTTACTCCAGGTTAGCCAGTTCACTCCTGGCGGTCTATTCACTCTAGACCAGTCATTAGTTTGTTTATTCATTGAAAGATGTCATCCCTAAAATTTAATTAAGCCAGAAAAGTGGTGGAATTATCGCAATTTAAGCAATTTTGTACTGTAAGCATAGTGTTTTCTGTTTCTAATCAGTTGTTTCTAATGGCCAGAGGCGATTTACGTGGACAACTTTCAATTTTCCGTGGGGAAGCTTCTGAATACGGTAGACAACATCATTCAATTTTGATTTGATTACGTAAGTTTTTTCCCAATCCTTTTGCAGCTTTGGACATTTCCCTTTGGTTCTTTTGGGGGCAAAGAACCAAACTTTTTGTCCAGGCTGAAAATGGATCATGTGAGTTTTCAAGTCGAATTTAGATTTCATTTTATCACTTTTCATGTCCCAACATTTCCGGACTTGTTGATGGATATCACCCATTTTTTCTTGAAGTTGACCAACGTAATTCGGAATATCAGTGTAAGATGTAGTGTCAGTGATTGGGGGTTTGCCATACAGTAAATCCAACGGAAGACGAAGTTCTCTTCCAAACATCAACATTGAAGGAGAAAATTCTGTCGTTTGATGTTTGGATGAGCGATAGGCCAATAAAAATAGAGGGAGCCACTTGTCCCAATTCCTTTGATTATCGTCTACAAATTTGCCTAGATAATTCAGGATTGTTCTGTTCAAACGCTCAACCATGCCATTCGACTGAGGTCGAAGTGGAGTCGTTCGAGTCTTATGGATACCCAAAATACTCATCAAATCATTGAAAATCATAGATTCAAAATTCCGACCTTGGTCAGAATGAATCTCGAGGGGAACTCCGAATCGAGAGACTACATGAACGATTAGTGCTTCTACATTTGTGGATGCCTGATGGTCAGGCAGTGCAATCGCTTCAGGCCAACGTGAGAAGTAGTCATAAATTACTAAGATGTAACGGTTCCCTGAATTAGTTTTTGGTAGTGGACCCAGAATGTCAATAGCAAGTCTCTCGAATGGAAAACCGACATTATAGACTTGTAGTTCTCCCCTGATTCGATTGACAGGTCCGTCTCGACTGAAGCAAACGGAACACTTTTTGCACCAGAGTTCAACGTCCTGTTTGCAAGTTGACCAGAAAAATTTCCTGCGAATTTTTTCAAGCATTTTGTTGACTTTGAAATGACCGGCAGCCGGGGAATCGTGACTCTCAGCAAGGATGTTCGGGATTACCGATTTAGGTACAATTATTTGATAAAGCGTTTGCGTTGAGTCAACAGATTCCCAACGGCGGTAGAGAATGCCATCAATTATTTCTAGAGAATCCCAAACCAATAAATAAATTTTGATACCGTAATCCAAATGTGCGATGTCTTGCCAATCCGGACGTTGATCGCGTTGTTTGTATTTAATCAGAGTTCTCAAAGTGAGGTCCTCAGTTTGAAGTTTACGCCAGTCAAACCTGTCATCAGCAACACAAGTAGTTCGATAAACGTATTTCTTGGTTTCTTCGTTTAGGGAATTGAATTTAGTACATTTTTTGCATGAACATGGGCGTCGAGACAGGCCATCGGCATTGCCATGAAGATGACCGGGTCTGTGTACGATTTCAAAATCGAACCTGAAGAGTGATTCAAGCCATCTGAATACTTGTTGTTCAGGATTTTTGAATGACATGAGCCATGTCAAAGCTGCGTGATCAGTTCGGATCACGAATTTACGCCCCAAGAGATAGTGACTGAAATTTTCAACAGATCTGACAACTGCCAAGAGTTCTCTCCGCGTGACACAATAATTTCTCTCAGATTTGCTCAGACAGTGACTGAAATACGCGATGACCCTCTCCTCATTACTCTGTACTTGAGAAAGTGTAGATCCAATAGCAAACAGTGAAGCATCTGTATCAAGGATGAAATCATAATCGACCATTGGAACTGATAAGATGGGAGCAGAAGTCAAGGTGGATTTCAGTTGATTAAAACTTGTCTGAGCTTCAGGAGACCACTCAAAAGGTGTTTTGTCTTCCGTCAAAATGTGTAAAGGTTTGGCAATGTTAGCGAAACCTCTCACATACTTCCTGTAATAATTGCAGGTTCCAAGGAAGCTTCGAATTTCAGTTTTAGATTGAGGTGTGGGCCAATCCACAATGGCAGAAACTTTCTCGGGTGAACACTTGATTCCTTCTTTTGAGATCAAATGTCCAAGGTAAAGTACCTCTTGTTTGAAGAAAACACACTTTTTTGTATTGACTTTGAGATTGGCAGCGGATAATCTAGAGAATACTAATTCCAAGTTATGCAAATGCTCATTAAAATCTTTTCCGAAGACAATTATGTCGTCGAGAAAAACGCGACAGATTTTGCCAACAATTCCACTGAGAACTCTATTCATGACTCTCACGAAAGTTGCTGGAGCACTACATAACCCAAATGGGAGAATTTTAAATTGCCAAAGTTCATCGCCAATAGCGAATGCGGTTTTCTCTCTGTCATTTGGATCCATTTCAACCTGCCAGTTCCCACTCTTTAAATCAATTGTAGAGAACCAAACAGAGCCAGAACTAGCATCAAAAATTTCGTCGTCACGAGGAAGAGGCATAGAATCTTTTTTTGTTACTGAATTCAAAAGACGGTAATCGACACAAAAACGAATTAAATCATCTTTTTTTTTTATTCAACACGACCGGTGAGGCCCAAGGACTATGACTAGGTTCAATGACTTTTTGTTGTTTCATGTCTTCCAATAATTCGTATACTTTTTCGCGGTAATGAAAAGGGACTCTTCGTGGATTTTGTTTGATTGGTTGGGGATTTTCTAGGATTATTTTATGTTTAATTCCTTCATAACGGCCCAAATCATTTGAATTCTTTGAAAATGAGGTTTGATATTTCACGAAAAATTGTTCTAGCTCTTTTTGTTCCGTAGAATTTAATAATTGGGCTGAGTTTTCAAATATTTGATTCAAAAATTCAGGAATTACGGTGGACGATTCGAGAGTGTTCATTGAGATGACTTGATTCACGTAAATTGATTTGAGGGGATTGTTGATATCGAATTTCTTGTTGATGACAGATTGGAAATCATTCAACAATCCTGAATTGAAAAGAAAATCTAACCCAAGAATGCAATCACTTTGGATATTAGCAAAAACCACATCTAATTTCATAGAAGAGTTCGCGATAGAAATTGTGACTTGTTTGATAGTTTTGTAAGGAAAATTCTGATTAGAAACAGTATAGATTCTCAGAGGCTTGTTTATATCCGTTAGTTCATCGAGATTATTGTCGAAAACAAGAGGATTTACTAAGGTAATATCAGATGCAGAATCGATAATCATTGAGCATGAACGTTCATTTATTTTTCCTTCAACTGTTAGATTTAAACTCAATTACTGTTGATGAGATTGTGAATTTTTTATTTCAAAACATCTACGAGAAAGCGGAATTGATCGAGTCAATTCGTCCCCCAACGAATCGACTCTCTAGTTTTCCGGATTTCTAGGAGTGAAGTTGAAGGGATTGTTTCGATTGGCTTGGTTACTGTTTTAGAATCGATTGAAGTGATTGTTTTGATTCTTGTTGAAATTGCGATTTTGATTCCAATTTCGATTGGGATTTTGAGAGGAATTAGGATTGGAATTTCTATGTGAGTTGTCATTATTGATTTGAGGTTTACATTCATTGGCATAATGTCCATAAATTTTGCATTTATGGCATTGAATGTGTGATTTTCCATTTGTTTGTGGGTGGTATTTATTAGAGAGGACGGAACGTTTGTTCTGGAGGGGGTGATTGTTTGACAGTTTCGAAAATTGTTCTTTGCTCTCTAATAATTCATCTATTGATTGAAATTCGGTTGCTCGTTCTATAGCCGCTTGAAGTGTATCAATGCGATCAAGACGTAATACGCGCTCGAGCTCTTTATTTTCGATCCCATTGATAAATTGACGACAAGCCACGCGATCACGAATGTCTTCAGGGGAATCAAGGTAGGCGAGGCGAACCAGACGTTCAATTTCTTCCGCAAAAGTAAGAAAATTTTCATTTTTCTTACGTTTACGAGAAAGCAGTTCATTAAAATAGCTACAAGATAGATGTTTCTCATCGAATTTCTCAGATAAAATGTCAATTAATTTTCGATAGTTATTTAGGTCCGTGGCTGGAAGTTTCTCAAGAATGAGTTGTGCTTTCCCGCGGAGGCAAGTAGCTAATTGAGCGGCTTTAACTTCAAGTGACCACTCGTTGTGATTCGCGGCAATTTCTAAATGTTTCTGATATCGTGTCCAAGGGGTTGAACCATCAAAAGTATCAGGTTTGATGCGAGAAGTCTTAATTTGAGCATTAGGCTAAGCATAAGCATGAGGTAAAGCAAAAGTAGGAAGTTGATGGTTATCTGTTGGTTCAGGATTCTCAGGTGGAACATGAAACAGTGGATTCCATGGTGGGTAGACTGGAGGAAGTGGTGCAGTCGGGTTCCGTAGAGGGGGTCTTGCAGCATATGGAGGACCTGGTGGATGAATTAAGGGATGTGCAGCAGGGTTTGGGATCATCGGTTCCACGAATACAGGTATTGGAGGTATTTGATTCCTTGCGAGATGTTGATGAGGATTCAGATCATCTCGACGGGGTATTGGATTCTCAGGATGACGTTGTTGGGGATTCAGTACATCATGTATGGGTACTGGATTCATTGGATTATGTTGGTGAGGGTTCAGCATTCCTTGAAGAGGCACTGGATTCTCTTGAAGAGGTATTGGATTCTCTGGATGATGTTGTTGAGGGTTCAGTACATCTTGGGCAGGTACTGGATTCTGTGGATTACGTTGTTGGGGGTTGGGATCTTCTGCGTCAAGTTCTTGATGGTTTAGAGGATCATCGGGGACATTTGGAGGTGCTTGATTCATTGGGAGATCTCTCAATGCATTTAGTAGATCTTCCCTGGCAGCTCGACGATTTTCTTTCCTCTCTTGGCGGAATTCATCTCTAATTGGAGTGATGACATTACGAAATTCATTTCGTAAATGATTTTCTGATTCTCCGAGTTGAGCAGTGGTGACATTCTGTTGTGGAAGTTCTTCGTCAGGCTGAAAATCAAGAGGAACACCAGCAGCAAATGGGCCAGGACGAGCGTTCAAATTTTCTTGTAAATCTGCACGTCTCCTTCTCCCTCTCCCCGTCATTATTAATCAAAACGACTCACCCTTAACGCCAGATAATTTTATTTTCCACTATCCCAATTAATCCAGAGAGTTGAGTGTAGATAACTCAATGATGGGTAAGTAATCCTTGTTTCGAATTCGTCGCTCGTGTGGTTCCAATAAATGAATAATTCACATGATGATCTCAATTTGCAAGTGGATTTCTATCCCACTTCTGACACCAATGTTACAAATTGTAGACAATGAATAATTGACACGTTATTAATTATGAATGGGGCGGACAGTTTATTCAAGAAGACTCATTTGACAGTTCTCATCGAAGATCCTCATCTATAATAACAGTAGAACATCACTCGATAGTCATCTCTCTGCCAGCTTCATAGATGTTCTTTTTATTGGTTGTTAATTTAGGGATTCGAAGGGGGAAACGTAACAGTATATTCCTCTGGAAAGACTTGAATTATCCGACTCCATTCGTAACCGTTTTTGATGCTTCCACCAAAATTCGACTAAAAACCTTACTTAAATTCAACAAAATCCAAAACTGGCGCATCGCTACACTTTGTTCCTGTAAACCAATTACCCCAACTTAACAAACACTCATATAAAGTATATACAAAGTTAAATATCACTGCACCTACTGGTCGATTTCCCGGTGGCTTGGCGCAGTGGATAAGTTCGTCGCCTCACATGCGAAAGGTTCCGTGTTCAAATCCCGGCCGGGTAGAATGGTGCAATCTAACCATTTTAAAGTCTTGATCGTCATCGCAGTATACCCTAACCGGGTCGAAGCGATGTAAAATGACGATAAAAAAAAACTCTACTTATCCGATTTCGTTCATCAAGAATCCTAAACTTTGTTACCATAAGACCTAATATCATAGTAAGTTTCAAGTTTCTATCTCGATTATTTTTTAAGTTATCGTGCGAACAAGCAATTTCAGCGAAAAAAGAAAAAAAGAACAAAACTACATTACTTAGGGTATTATAGACTTCTTTCAATTCAATTAAATAGACGAGTATTTTGGAAAGAAAAAATTCAATCGGTTTAATGATTTAGGAGATATCGGCACAAAACGATTTTCGAAGAATCGCCATATCTCAGAAACCGCTCAACCGATCGAGCTGAAATTCAGCACAAATGATCTAGCGGAATAAGTATGGTGAAAATGCCCCCAACGAATTTTGAATCGCCAATTTTTTGTATTGTTTATCATGATAGAATATGTCTGCGTGCAAATTTTCAGATTTTTATATGCATTCCTACCAATTTTGTCGCAAAAAACCATCTTTTTCTAATGTCATATTTTTTAGCCGTCAAAAAGTGTTCTAACAATCTGGAAAAATTCTAGACGCAATGAAACACAGTTAAACGTATCGAAAGTATTTTATTTTTGGGCACGTCTCTCGTCTGAGCGTCCTCCTCGTAGCGTGTGTTATACACAAGTAGCGATTGCCGTGGCAACCAGTCAGTGACGAAATCTGCGCATGCGCACGATCTCGTCTCTCTACATTAACGTACATATAATATATGAAGCATGAATAACGTGAACACAAGATAAGGCAACTCTATATGAGGACCAAAGCTGGAGCCACTTTCCAATACTCCCTCCCGAATGCTTCTGGATCCTCTTCCTTTGGAACTGTCGTACTAAATTATTTCTTCTTCTTTCCTAAACAACCATAGCAACAAAGATTAGATATTTACATTGATTATTCTATCAACTTGGCGTTTATGCAATTCAAACGCTAGAGGTTTGGTAAACACGTCAGCTAATTGATCTCTTGAACTGATCCATTTTACTTTAATCATTAAGCTTCACACATTCTTTGATGTGATGAGCTTTCACGTCAATTATGTGTCTTAATTTATTCCCCCCACTAATCTCTGTACTACTCGTCGCTGCCATGTTATTACACCACAGTGTCATTGGCAACTGGGGTGGAAAAATTAATTTTAGAGAGTTGAACATAGACAACAACGCTTAACTGACTTCACTCATCGCTACATATTCAGCTTGGCAGGTAGACAGAGCAACGTACGACTGTTTGTGAGTTCTCCAAATTATAATATCACCAAACAGTTTAATTACAAAACCGCACGTAGTCAAAGATTCTTTCCAGTCGACAAAACAAGCATCTGAGAATGCTTCAATCACATCAGTCTCACCAGCATATCTGAGACCTAGAGCAGACGTACCTCTCAAGTACCTCAGCACTCTCTTTACCAATTTCCAAACCTCATCGGTTGGGCACACCTGATGTCTGCATAATACATTGACTGCGTAGGAAATGTCAGGTCTCGTCGTTCCGGCTAGATACAATAAACTAACTACGACTTCTCGGTATGCACAATTCATTTTCTCATTGCGTCGAACAAAAATCTCACCGTCAATATCGGATTCTCTCTGTTTTCGCTCGTGATTAGAGGCCTGTGTTGTCAGCATAGGGGTTCTTTGAGGATGGGAATCCTCAAATCCATATTTAGTCAATAACTTATGTACATAATTTTCTTGACTCAATTTAAGAACTTTATTCTCTCGATCACGCTTAATTGAAATATTTAAGAATTCTTTAGGATCTCCTAGAACTGTCATTTCGAATGCAAAGCTCAGAGTTGATTTGACTTCATTAAGTTTACCTTTATCATTGCTTGCCATAATGATATCATCAAAATATAATAATAACATTACAAATTTGTCTTCATCACTCCAGGTGAATAGACAAGGCTCCAGATCCGAGTTAACAAGGCCAACACTAAGAGGGACTTCAGTGAATTTCTTATTCCAACGTTTTGGACTTATTCGAAGTCCATAGAGAGATCTTTCCAACTTACAAACTTTAGTTTCCCTGTCCAGATCAGAATGTAAAGTCCCCTCAGGAATCCCCATGTAAATTTCCTCGTCGATTTCACCGTTTAAAAACGCTGTTTTTACATCTAATTGACACGTCTCTAAATCATATTTATTAATAATTGCAAATACAGCCCTGACTAAATTCATTCTAGATACTGGAGCGTAAGTTTCTCTTAGTTCATAGATATTTCGATCTTTAAAACCTCGAATGACTAGTCTGGCCTTATATCGTGTTTTACCGGCTGCTTCTAATTTTCGTTTAAATACCCATTTTGAATCATTAATATTAGCTTTCTGACCATTTTTGTTACTGATGGGTCGATCTACAATTTTCCAAACTTTATTTTTATTCATTGAATTTAACTCGTACTCTACTGCGGCAGCCCAGTCATTCTTGTCTACTCTTTGCATAGCATCCCTGAAATTAGTTGGATCTGAATTTATGTCAGCTAGAAGAGCATGATATACCTCGTCGGTTGAATTGTCCATTCCTATCTCATCCTCACCCTGTGATAAACAACCTAACAATAGTCCAGAGCTCAAATTCTCGTCGATTGGTAACTTTGGGAAATTTGTTTCGCTTCACATTTTACTGATTTCTTTTGTTTCTGACCCTGCGTTTACCCTTTTCGGCCTACCTCTTTTCCTCCGAGCTACTCCCTCCGATTTGAATTCTTGTTCCAAAACATTCTCCCTTTTGTCAAATCTTACAAACCAATCACTTTTATTTATCACTGCTTAAGCTTCAGGGACGTCCTTAATTTCACTTTTACTGTATTGGATATAATACACTTCACTTTTATTGTATATAGACCTTTTTCTCGTGAAATTTGACATGTCTACTTTCATAAAATTTTCCATCTTCTGGTCTTAGCAAGATATAACCAGTAGGTGTATATCCGACCAAAACACCCCTCATACCTACTGCCCTGAATTTAGGTCCAGTTTTTCTTTGGACTTTCATGTACGCTAAGCTGCCAAACCTTTTAATCTGGTTAATTTCATAGCTATATTCCGGTGCAAACTCTTCTAATGGAGTTTTCATCTCATTGGATTTGTGAGGAGTTCGATTATACGCATATACCGCGGCAGACAGAGCCAGATCCCACATACTCTCCGGTAATTTCGCATCAAACATGTACGCTCGAATCTTTTTCTGGATTGTCTGATTGAAACGTTCAGCGACCCCATTGTGTTCTGGAGTATCAGGAGTTGCCAGTTGTAATTCCGCACCCAAGCTCTTCAACACTTCAATCGTATGACCTCCGGTAAATTCAGTACCTTGATCTGACCTGAGATAGCAAACTTTCGCATCGTAACCCAGCAAGTTTCTACCACTCCTAACAAACATTTCAAGACTCTGACCAGTTGGACTTTTAGTTTTCATTGGATACGCCATTGCGAATCTTGACTTGTCATCTATAAATACTGATATAAACCTGTATCCTTTCGGATGTGAGGCTGGGGATATTGGCCCCATCATGTCAGAATGTATCACTTGCAAGGGTTCAGTTGCTCGACTTCTCATTTTGGGGAATGGCAATCTGTTAAATTTTGACGCCATACAAACTTCACAATCCAATAACGACTCGTCAAAAATCACATCCTTTAGTTCTTTGTTATCAGGAAATTTTAATTGAATGGCTTTGAGATACGCTATGGACGCATGTCCGAATCTGGCGTGCCACAGCAAGGCTTTATTATTTTTCTGTATTTTATCATTCTCGTCTGCAAAAGTATCAAAATTGTCAGTATTCTTTTCACATCGTATTTCATCAGCATTATTTAATTTTCTATCCCAAATTGAGAAATCAAAATTTGATTGTACGTGTTGATCTAGAGTCGGTTAAGAAAGTTCAATATTTTTCAAATTGTCATTAGACTCTACTTCCTTTTGTTTATTATCTTTTATTTCTCTTAATATCTCTACGCTCTGATCGTCACTCTCAATTGGATTTTCCTTGATTGTCTCTTCATTTAGCCTTGCTGTGACACTTCTCGTCATGTGTCTTTTAATTTCTGTATTACCGCCCACCATGTTAACTATAACCCGTCTAGTCACATCCTTCTGCACACGCTCACCAACCTGACTTTGTTTATTCACTTCTAAATCCACCAACCAATATGGCTTTCTATACACACTTGAAATAAACAATTTATTTGACT